TTGATCATTTGACATGATTCAAACTTTTCATTCAGCATGATTAGTAAACAGTTTGTTATCTCAGTGTCACTTAACTCAGGCAGACAAGGCAGACAACTTAATGCAGACAGACATCCTAATCCATACATGACTTAACGGGAAAATAGTAAACAACCCCTTATTCTATTATCTTTTTAGGCAAATATATTTGTGTTTTAAAGTTTCACATTTTCTGCTATGTTGTTTAAAGTATAGTTTATATTAATATATATTTTCTCAATATAACAAATTACTATAATTGTCATGCAATAACAAGAAAAATGTAAATTACGATTTAAAATATCAACATCAACATTGCCGTTTTCTCCCTTAATAAATTTAGTGCCCCGGAAGTGATGGTTTTGATGGTTACTTTTACCAGTGTGCTTATGATATTATCGAGAATGATCTTTTTAATGTTGTCACTGAATTTTTCTGTGGTGTCCCTATTCCCAAATCTATAGGACATACTTTGATTGCTCTCATTCCTAAAGTGAAAAACGCCTACCAGTTTTCTAAATTCAGGCCCATAAGTCTTAGTAATTACATCAATAAGATTTTCACTAAAATTATAACTATCAGAATTACCCCTTTGCTGCCTAAAATCATTTCTGATGAACAAACTGCTTTCCAGAAAGGGAAAGATATTTTTGATAGTATTTTGGTTTTGCGTGAGCTGGTAAGTCATATTAATAAGAAAATCAGGGGCCACAATGTTATTTTTAAATTTGACATGCTGAAAGCTTTTGACAGGATCTCTTGGGCTTTTATAAATAGGGTTCTTCTTAAGTTTGCATTTCATCCCAGGTTTGTCAACCTTATTCTCAACAACCTCAATGCTACTTGGTTCTCGATTTTTATTAATGGATCACCTAAAGGTTTCTTTAAACCTTCCAGAGGGGTTAAGCAAGGAGACCGCCTATCCCCTATTATTTCATTATTGTTACTGAGGTTTTGACTAAAAATATAAATCAGGTTTACCATTCTGGTGTTGGTAATGCTTATCAAACTTTTGCAAGTATGCCTACTATTACTCATCTTTCTTTTGCTGATGATCTGATGGTCTTTTCTAATGCTGAGAAGAAAACTCTTAATACTCTTAATAAGATTATCACTAACTGTGAAAATTTTTGTTGGTCAACTAATTAGTAAGGAAAAAAGTTTTTACCTCATATCTAAACATGCTAAGGCCCATAAAACTAATATTGTGGAAAGCATTTTTCACGTTAATAAAGGTACTTTTTCGTTTACTTATCTTGGGGCCCACATCCATGCGGGTAGAAGTCTTAATTCTCATTTTGACTATATTCTAACTAAGGTTGACAGAAAGTTGGCAGGTTGGAAGCATAAACTCCTTTCGGCTGGGGGCAGAATTATCCTTATAAACCATGTTCTGAGCTCTCTTCCTCTTTATCACATGGTTGTGTCCCCCTTCCCTAAACACATTATTAATCAAATTGAAAAGAAATTCTCTAATTTTATGTGGGAAAGAAACCAGGACAATAAAAAACACATTTGGCGTAGCTGGTCCAAATGTTGCTATCATGTTTCTGAAAATGGGTTGGGTTTGAGAAGTCTCCATCATATTCAAAAAGCTTTTTTTCTCAAACTTTGGTGGAAAATCACCAATAAAAAAGGCTTATGGGCTTCCTGGTTTAACTCCCTTTCTGATAATAATCGTTCTATGATGGCTAAACCTCTTGAGGCTGTGGAACATACTTTTGATACCCACTGCTGCACTCAGATTAATAATGGTAAAAGCTTTTTCTGGTATGCCAATTGGAATGACCTTGGACCCTTATACCAATTCCAAGATAACATCCCCATCAATCTTAACGATATCACCATCAAAGATGCTATGACAGGTAATGCAATTAATCCTTCTCTGACTCAATACTTGCCGAGGTATGTGGTAGACTACATTCACAATTTAAACATTCAGTTCACGTACCTTGATGATAGATATGTTTGGATACCTAACTCTGATGGCAATTTCGGCTTTTCTAGTGCCTATGATGTCATTAGGCCTAAAATGATTAAAAAAAAACCTTCCACTGTTTTTGTTTGGAACAATAGGATGCCTAAGAAAATCTCCTTTTTTCTTTGGCGTCTTGATAACAAGCTGCTGCCCTTTGAGAACCAACTGAATCAGATTGGTATCCTTGGACCTTTCAAACGCCCCTTTTGCCCTAACCAAGACTCTATTGACCACTTTTTTCTCAATTGCAACTTTAGTAAAAACGTTTGGAATCACTTCCAGAATACTCTCAACTTCCGGGTGAATATCAGTACTAGTTGTACTAATTTTATCTCTAAGTGGTACAATGACTATAATAGCCAAATTAAGAGCTTCAATTTTACTATCCCAAACATTATAACATGGAATCTGTGGAAGGCTCGGAACACTTGCATTTATGATAATAAAAAGGCCAGTCTGTCTGAGGCGATAAATACTATTAAAGCTGATATTTTTGTCATATCCATTGCCAAGCCTTTTGTAAGCAAAACCTCCAACCCCCCCCCCCCCCCATTAACATTATTATGTGCCCCCCTAAGAAGACAACCAAACCCAACCAGCTTAAGGCTTGGACCAAGCCCCCCAGCTCTTATTACAAAATCAATTTGGCCACCGGCAAACTCAACCTAAACCTTAATCGTTTTGTTGCTCTCATACGGGATGAGCACGGTAATTATGCCGGTCATGCGACTCACCTCTCCAGACAGCCAGACCATACAATGGACTTGTATGATGCTATGATTTACTTTATCCAAATCCTTAAGAACGCTAACTTTATAAATTTTGTTTTGGAGGTGGACATTAAAGACATTTATGAAGGCATTACGGGTCTAACCATCTAGCATTGGAGATACTGGTCCAGGATCCAAATCATCAAGAAACACCTCACGGGATGCAATTGGACGGTGGCCCACATTCACCCAAGCATTAACAAAGCCGCTGAGTATCTTGTTTATCGGAACGCTTCAATTAAGACCAATACTCATCATTTTAATAATTTTGTCGGTATCCTTAAATTTGATGCAATTAGTTACCCTTATGTTTTTTAATTGAGTAGGCTTTGGCTTGGCCCTCTTACTCCATGTAACCTCTCTTTATTCTAATCAATTTGTGGGGTGTTCCCTGGCCCCCACTCCAAGCTCCATTGGAGTTTGGAACCTTAGGTCGACAACCCAATGGTTCCTGTCCGATCCAGTCCGGTTAAGTCCAATCAATGACCCGGCAGTCCCTGTCATGTCTGGTCAACAACTCGTCGGTCCCCGTTCGGTCCGGACCATGACCCGATGGTCACTATCTGGCCCACGACCCGACAACCCCTACTCGGTTCAGTCCACAACCTGACGGTCCCTGCCTGTTCGGTTCACGACCCTACGGTCCCTATCTGGTCCGGTCGATGACCCGACGGTCTCTGTGCGGTCCAATCCACGTCTAGGCAGTACCTGTTTGATCCGGTTGACGGTCGGGCAACCCCAGTCCGATCCAGTTTGGTCAATGACTCGGCAGTCCTTGTTCGGTCCGGTCAATGACCCGGTGGTCCCCGTCTTGTCTGGTCAACCATCCGACGGTCCTTGTCTTGTTGAGTCAACGACTCGGGGGTCCCCATCCGGTCCGGTCAATGACCCGATGGCCTGTGTTCGGTCAGATCGACAACCGGGCGGTCCCCGGGCCAGTCCCTTCAACGATCCAACGTTCCTGTCTGAGCCGATCAATGACCCGAAGGTTCAATCTCGGTTATTAAAAAACATTTTTTAAGGTGTAAGGTTTTAAAAGAGCCGTTGAGTTGTCAACCAATATGGAAATGAGAAAAGAAATCGCCAAACTAATAGTTGAGATCGACTGGGACCGACTGGTTTCGGTTCCAACTTTCCTATGTGTTGGACCTGGTACCCTACTTGGGCTGTACTAGGTTCGGTTCCAGATTGGGACCGTACTTTCAGTATTCTGGTCGGTAATAGAACTGGGTGAAAAAAATTTGATGAACATGTTTTCTGATTTGAAAATGGAAAACTAACAAATGAAAGCAGAAAATTAGAGATACAAAAACTGGAACATGAAAACAAATAATTGGAGATCGGAAAACGGAAAACGGAAATAGAAAAGTGGAAAATATCTCTGTTAGTAAACAAGCCCCAATTTTTTAGAATTAAGAATTAAGAACTAGACAAAATATATTAATTAATGATTAATAAATAAAACAACAAGGAGATATACCTAGTACTTCTAGTTACGTAGACATGGGGAGCGGCTAAGGGTAAAAACCCTAGCCATCTCCCCTCATCTTTCTTCTCGTCAAGTTTCTTTCTCCTCCTAAGTATAAAAAAGATTTATTTCATCAATGTTTTCAGCTATTTTATATAGTTTCTTCTTAGCGATGTATAGAGTTTGTATATTCCTCGTCGGTAGAACCGATCGGGTGTTGAAATTTTATTATTGGTGGTTGGCAATGCTAGTCATGCTTGATATGCGGGGCAATTATTTGCCTTCCACCTGAACCACCGCCATGCTATGAGAGAAAGATAGTGCTCGACTGGATCTTCTTTTCGGTGGCTGGTCAAACCGATGATATTGATAATTTTTTACCAGTAGCTAGTCAAACTATGGATTATAGCTATTTCTTTTTTGTGACTGAACAAAGTTGAGGATTTCTATTATTTTCTTGTCGGTAGATAGTGAAACCAATTTATTTATTTATTTTCTATCGTAGAGTAGTTTTAGTAATATTTTGAGTTTTGATTATTGGTTGAGTAGTAGGAGCTTCTACGTTGATAGAGGAGTCTACATCTTTGTGGGGGTTAACAAATTGTTATGTTCATTTGGAACTTTTCAGTTCTATGTCTCGCCCCGTTGTAGCCTTAGACTATCCGAATTGCTTTTGTACTGATCATCTTTATTATTAGAGATAATTCTCTAACTAGGAGTAAAAGATGATGAAAGTGCACATATAGGACATTAATCTTCCGTAGGAGTAAAAGTAACTAAGTAGAAAAAAGTACCCTTAATGAAAGCCTAATTTATTTCTTAACTAATAATTTGTATAAGACAAAATACAATAATAAAAATTTATACAGATGCGGTGCATCTACAGATGCAGTGCATCTACTTCATACTACTGCACCAGAATTGATGTCGGACTGCCACTATGTCCTATGCCGCATAATCAGTCGTCGCTCTCAAACAAGTCTCAGTCTGCCATCACCATGTTCTCCTGTGCCGTAGCCGGCCTTCAACGAGTCCTCATACAAATCTGCATTGATAGATTACCATGTTCATATAAATATATTAAAATATTATTTAATGACATGTTAAAATTATTATGTCATTTTGTAATAAAATACATGACAATTACAATTGTAAGACATGGCATTATTTGCCTAGCATATCTATTTAGTGCCAACTCCATAAATGCAAAATGGCATTGTTTGCCAAACATATTGAAAAACATGATATTTGTAAAATAATTTTGTCATTTTAATACATGTAATATCATAAAATGACATTGTTTTCAAATAAGTTTTCGAAAAATAAACATTACTTATTTAATTTTCAGTTCCAAATTCATTAAATTGAAAATTTTAAAATAAAAATTCAAAATAAATAAATACAAACCAGATTTAATTTTCATCAATCCTTGGAGTACCTATTTTAATGATAAAAAGTCAAATCTGATTTTTTCAGATAATCAACTTTTGGGGCATCAAATTTTTCACTCCCAAAATTTCAAATCCAACTCAAAAAAATTTCATTTTGAATCTGAAAACTAAAACGAAAAATTACAAAACCCATGTGAAGAAGAAGAAAAGGAGTATGATGAGAAGGTGGATGAGATGGAAAAGGAGGATGAAGAGAAGAAGGGAGATACTTACTTGAGAAGACCAATGCATAGATGGATTCGCACCACGTCGCCGGAGTCGTAGCAAATGCCAGTGTCATGTCATTGTCGCAAGAGTAGAAGATCGTCTCTTTGTGTGTCCGATTGGTGGTGCAAAAGAGTGGAAGGATGAGGAATGCAGAACGATGTGAGACCAAAAGCTCTGAAAGTGAAGAGACAATGGAGGAGAGGGAGAGGGAGAGAGAGAGAGAGAGGGAGGGAGAGAGAGAGAGAGAGAGAGAGAGAGAGAGAGAGAGATGAGGAAATAAGAGAAAAAAATAGGAATGGATTGGTGGAATGTGAGGAGTTAGGTCTTGGGTGGATATATGCGAAGGGCGAGAGAAAAATAAGAGGGTAATTCAGGTAGCTAAAAATTAATGCTCTTGTTTTGTGAAGAAAAAAACATGAAGTTCTATTCAGGTATTACTTTTATGTTTTAGTCCTATTTAGGTCAATAACTTTTATTACTAATAAATAAGTGTTTCCATTCAAAACAAAAACAACAAGTTTTACAAAGTATAGTTTGTTCGATTTGGTTCGGTTTTGAGATGTAAAAACCAAAATCTAAGCCAAACAATTACGACTTGGTTTGATTTTTTGAGTCCATTTTCTGTTTTCTCGCGGTTAGGTTGTTTTGATTGCGAGTATTTTCCATTTCCAGTCCCTCGATGATTGAGTCAGTGACAGTACTTTTGGCACTCGACTTTCAATTTTCCCATTTTTAGTCCTCGACTATTGTGCGAAAAACACTTTTGGTCCTCAACTTCAATGTTTTCTACATTTAGTCCCCCGAGTAATATAAAATTGACACTTTTAGTCTCTCCACTGTGAATTTGACACCGTAAGTGGAGGACTAAAAATGGCACAATTATAATAGCTGAAGGACCAAAAGTATCACTTTGTGAAAGTCGAAAGACTAAATGTGGAAATTTTCAAAGACAGGTACCAAAAGTGTCTGTCGCACAATAGTCAAAGGACTAAAAGTGGAAAAACTCAAAGTCGAGTACCAAAAGTGTTAGTGACATAATAGTCGGAGGACTAAAAATGGCAATAACTCTTTTGATTGCCATTGATTTTGTCTATTGGGTTAAGGCAAAAAAATAACACTAAGGTTTTTGATGAATCTCGTATTGGACGCTGGGGTTTTTGAAGGAGCAAATAAACACAGATTCTAACTTAATGTCTAATTTTAAACCACCCGACTAACATCCCCGTTCGACGGCCGTTAACCTGGTAACTACATGTCTCCCCCTTCGATTAAACACACCTCTATAAATACATTCCCAACAACCCAAATTGATTTTGCAGCTACCTTTAAAATTGTGTGCAGACGTATTGAAGAGGAAACCATCAGTATGGACAATATTCCTTCACCATCAAGCTCAGAAGGGATATACAAAGCAAACTCCATTGATTCAGTAAACTTTCGAAGCACCATTGAGCGCCTAAATTCTGGCCAGACGAGGTACTGTAATTGCAGGAATGCAAGTGGAGCCCGTGTGGAGACGGGACTTTGGACTTCGTGGACTGATAAGAACCCGGGGAGACGATTCTATAGGTGTTTGTATTATGATATAATTTGAATTTGAATTTTTAAAAACAAATTTTCACCCCATCTGATGTATATTGTTATTTCTGTTTGTTGTAAAAGGATTGTTGCAGGTTTTTTAAGTGGCATGATGGGGCAAAACATGTTATCAATGATCTAAAAATGGAAATTAGAAGACTACACACTACAATATTGTGACTGGAGGAGGCCATACGTGCAGGAGGGAAATTTGATGAAACACCACTGCTGGAATATGATGATAACTCCAATGAAAAGTTGAAGTTTCAAGTTGAAGAGATTAGCAGTAGGAAGGTTGCCAAAAATCTGGAATTGGACAGGGGAGCAAATATGAATAGGAATTATGTGATTTCAATGGTGTTGTGTGCCCTTGTTATAGTGATGTGTTTTCTTTAAAGTTAGTTGAAGTGCTTAATGTTTGGTGTTGTAACCTTAGACAGAGGTGATTGATAAAACAAAGTTATTATTTTGTGTTGTTGTGCTTGGTTTATTTTGGTATGACTGTTGTGGCTTTGTTGTGGCAATAGTTTGGTACTAATGAAGTGGTTCAGTTTTGTTATGGCTTTGTTATGACTGTTAATCCACTAATGAATAGTTTCAGGATAGTTTTTTTTTAAAGAAAGTGGGATATTTTATTCATAGTGAAAATATGTACATATGGAAGGCAAAACAACAACAAACAAAAAACAGAAGGGGATAGAAAAACAAAAAAGAAAAAACAAGGGCTCTTCTTTACCATGTCCGAATTAAAATAAAGGAAAGAAGGGTGAGGCCGAAATTGTGGGGCAGCGGAATGTTTCAGGCCGGTCCCAAATGTTGATCCAGACATAATAAGGTAAAATATGCATTTCATTCGAAACAGCGAGAGGGTTCCGAAGGCGTCCATCGTTTGAGAGATCGGGAGATCAGGCATAGTCCCGGAATGGCAAGCGATTTATTCCACCGGTTGAGTTCGTTTCCTTGGTTGGGTATGTGTGAGTGCCCGAGCGTTGTAGGTCCGATGAAGGTGAAGGCCTTGTTGGTTCACAATGGAAAATGTTGGTGTGTTTGTCGATTCTGCTAGTAGATGTTTCCGGTTCATCTGGTAATGTGTAGAAAAACTTTCGTGAGTGTGTTTGAGGATAGTTTTGTTATGGTACTTGCTTACTTTTGTTATAAGTTGTATGATTGTTATATAAAAGTGTTGTTGATCTCCATAAAAGTTCATTCCGAGGTGTTGAAGATCTGTCATTACCAGTCATTGATTCTATGTTATGTTAACATAGCATTACCAGAGGTTTTTGAATAACATGTTGAAGTAGTAACTATTCTGCTATGTTAAGTCCAACATTAACACAAATGGTTTGTATGCTAAAGCACTATAAAGTAAACCTAATGAAGCAACCTAATATGACCATTCACCATCTTCTCTGCCACAGGTCCACACTGGTTAATGACATCTTAATCATCTGGCATTCACTTTGTAAATAAACCTAAAGAACTGTTATACCATCTCATACACAAACCTGCTATTGCAATTTCAAATTGTAAATAACATCTCATAAAACTACTAATTCATGAACTACTAATCATCATAATATATAATAACAAAAGATTATCATAAGTTCATATCCTTAGAGGCTATATTACCATTTAGTAATCAGTTTACGAAATTAAAATATTACAGGCCACATAAAATATTATAAAACCAAATTATTACCATTAAACCATTAAAAAAAACCTAATCTTAAGTGCACTTAATGCGGTATATACCACTAGTCCTTACAATATTTGGCTTTGGAAGTGGTCCTTGTGGCATTTGTGTAGTGGTAGGCTTTGGAGAAAAAGAAACTAAAGTAGGTCTCTTACCAATAGCAGGTGTAGTACCTTCTCTTGTTTCAGTAGATGCCTGAAGACATATTACATGATATTATACATACACATATATACCATAATCAGTCTTTTGAAGTAAACAACACTTTTTTTTATCATCAAAACACATGGCTTAAATTCATATCACAACATTCAAATAGGGGGTAAAACGACAAAAGGACCACATGCAACCGCCAGCCCTCGAACCAGACTTAGAGTCAATCACCTCCAAAAAAGTAATATAACTCGCTGATCCTATAAAGCAAACCTCACATCACCCAATCCTAATGCAAGAGTGTTACAACAATAAAAATAACCAACAGAAAAATAAATAGTTTGATCATGAAAAACAAAAAGCAAGCAAACAGTAAAATTAAAATATTGCTCCCAAACCCTAAACTCTCGTGCACTCCAATAGTATTGTAGAATCTTTCGCTCCTTGTCTCCGGTCAAGATCTATTCTAGCCCCTAGCCCCACACTTCCCTTCTGATCTCAACCATGAACGACATCCTTGAAACTCTTCACCTGCTGCAAGGGGTACACAACCTTTGGCCGCCATATAGGCGCTGCAATCTCCCAAAGAAGAGAGCCTCACGAAAGGCGGACAAAAGCCGCACTTCTTCAAAGACGAAAGCGGAGAAAAACAACCCCTAACCCTAGGGGAGACGGCCGCCTAGAGAGAGAAGCTCTCAAATAAAAATTGGCAAACACTTATTATACTTACATATATACCTTAAATACTCTACAGAAGTAACAAACTTATATTATTCACACATATATACAATAATCACTCTTAAGAAGTAACAAACACTTATTATACTTACATGTATACCTTAAATACTCTTCAGAAGTAACAAACTTATATTATTCACACATATACCATAATCACTCTTAAGAATTAACAAACACTTATTATACTTACACATATACATTAAATACTCTTCAGAAGTAACAAACACATATACATTACAATAACAATCTCCAAATAACAAAACAATGTTACAAATTACAAAAACAGTCTTAAAAGTCATAAAAAGTATTTCTAACTTACATCTTGATCTTTATTTGGACATTTGGATCTCTTATGTCCCTCTACATGACATATCCCACAGGTCTGGACTTGGTCTTTTCTTGACGCTCTATGAGATGTACTAGCAACATCTTTTGAACCACCTCCCACACCTTTGCCCTCATTTGATGCTCTAACCCTGTTCTTCTTTGGTCTACCATGTAAGTTTGGCACTGGGGGAGGTAAAATAGTTTCATGAAGGCCTTTCCGGGAACAGGCTGCAAAAGGTGCTGATATGCTGCCACATAACTTTCTTTATGATACCAACTAGATATATATGTCATGGTGTCCACCTTCTTATAAAATAAAGCACACAGAGCATGTAAGCAAGGTATGTCAGTCAATTCCCATGTTATGCAAGTGCACATCATCGTATCTAACATAACAGTGTGTTTATCTTCACCCTCACCTATCTCAAACCACATGTCCCCATTAAAAATTATATTTCAGCCAGTGGCAGCGTCCTTATTAGCTTGAAAGTCTTCCATGCATGAGGGAGACCAATCATTTATCCACTTCTCATGACTGACCTTAAAATCTGAAATTCTTTTCATTGCCTTCAAGCGTATATCTTCTAGCATGTTCACAATAGGTTTTTCTCTCGCTTCTCGAATCCATGCATTAAAGGACTCTGTGATGTTATTATCAAGCATCCAACATTGACTTCGGCTACTAAAGTATGCCCGACACCAAGTTTGAATCGGATATTTCAACACATCGGAAGCGGTTTCACTTCTTAATTTCCCAAACCTTTTCAAGTTCATTTGCAGCTCTTCTTCATATGTGCTCCAAGCACATATCCAATTTT